GTGTGTATATATATATATATATATATATATATATATATATATATATGAGCTTTACTGATTTTGTTTCTCTAGAGAACCCAGTCTAACACATTTGGTACCGAGAGTGGTTCTAGAGAGACAAAATCATAAGGATGGGCTTTCTAAATTGGTTTCTCCAGTTTGATTAATCTTAAAGACACTAGTGACCTTGCCTCTTTTAATAAAGAGGGCCCTGCTAATCTGTGGCATGAAGTGGCAACTTTAACATGCAAAATAGCACCACCAATAGATCAAGTACTTATGAGAAGTGACACTCTGGGTGATCAGATATTTGATACTTTTCTGCAATTTTATCAGAAAAATTGGAGTATAAGGAAGCTGGTTTGTTGGTCCTACTTAACACTAGACAAAGTGGTGAAAGAGCGAGATGAGCTCAGAGCTGCTGAGTCTTGGCTTAAGTGCCACATAAAAGACCTCAATACTTCCAGTTGTGCTCTGAAAGAAAGTCTTATATCTTCCAGTAACAGAGCTGATATTGCTGAAAACCAAACCCAGAGTCTTATTGTAAGGGTGGTTGAATTACAATGCCAATTAAGCTGCCAACCTAGAATGGTGTCTGACGTTAAAGTGAAGGCATTGATTGGGAAAAAATGGGATCCTGAAACCTGGAATGGGGACATATGGACAGATAGTCAGGAAGATCAGAATATGGAGCCTGTAAATTCTGTTGAACTCCTCCCATCTGAACAGATTACTATAAAGCCAGGATCAACCTCCACCTCAGTTTGATGGGATTAGCCAAACTGGTTCTGCTGGGTCATTGCCTGAGGCAGAGGCCATGGAAGACATTCCTGAATGCTCTCAGGAACTTCCTCAACCACCCATTGAGTCCAAGTGAGCCCCAAAAGGTGAAATAGAAAGTGTGACTGGGGAGGTGGTACACTATACCCAAAAAGACCTACTTGATTTTGCTAACGTGTACAGACAGAAACCTGGAGACTATGTATGGGAATGGCTACTGAGAGTGTGGAATAATGGTGCAAGGAATATAAGATTGGATCAGTCTGAGTTTATTGATTTAGGCCCACTAAGTGTGGATTCTTCATTCAGAGTTTCAGCTCGAGATGTTAGGAAAGGATCTAATAGTTTATTTGGTTGGCTTACTGAGGCATGGATTATGCGGTGGCCTACCTTAAGTCAAGCTGAAGCACCAGACCTGCCGTGGTTTAATGTAGAAGAAGGTGTCCACGGGCTTAGAGAAATTGGCCTGTTAGAATGGATTTATCAGATTAGACCCCTAGAGCCAGAAATGGAGAGTCCAGAAGACATGCATTTCACCAGTACAGTGAGGAATAAATTTGTGAAGGGGGCTCCACCATCCTTGAAGACTGCTGTGATTGCTATTTTATGTAAACCTGATTTGACAGTGGGAACTTCCCTAATTGAACTAAGACACTTAACTATGATGGGGCTGATTGGAACCTGTAGTAGTAGGGCCCAAGTGGCAGCAGTTACTCAACAAAGGCAAGGTGGGCATGGTTACCATAATGGACAGCAGAGTTGGAACAGTAATCAGAATAGTCTGACTCATATGGAATTATGGCATTGGCTATTTGCTCATGGGGTTCCTAGTAGTAAATACATGGCAAGCCTACTAAATATTTATGTGATCTGTATAGACAGAAGAATTCTAAGTCACATGAACAGCAACCTAGATTGAATCACCAGAATACAGAGTCACAACCTCTCAATAAATTCCCAGGTTTGAGTCAGTTTACAGACCCACAACCTCTTGAATGAAGGGGAGGGCAGGTCCATTTGAGGAAGGACCCCACTAGATTGCCAAAAATCTATAATGTCAGTCTTTCTCCTAGCCTTCCCCAAAGGGATCTGAGGCCTTTTACGAGAGTGCCTGTTCATTGGGGAAAAGGAAATAATCAGATTACTGGACACTGGCTCTGAATTGACACTAATTCCAGGAGACCCAAAGCATCATTGTGGCTCTCCAGTCAGAGTGGGGGCATATGGAGGTCAAGTTATTGATGGAGTCTTAGCTAAATTGTGTCTCACAGTGGGTCCAGTGGATCCCTGAACCCATCCTGTAGTGATTTTCCCAGTGCCAGAATGCATAATTGGAATAGATTTACTCAGCAATTGGCAGAATTCCCACATTGGGTCCCTGACATGTGGAGTAAGGACTATCATGGTAGGAAAAGCCAAGTGGAAGCCATTACAACTGCCTCTACCTACAAAAATAGTAAAGCAAAAGCAGTATCACATCCCTGGAGGGGTTGCAGAGGTTACTGCCACCGTCAAGGACCTGAAGGATGCAGGGGTGGTGTTTCCCACCACATCCCCATTTAATTCACCTATATGGCCTGTGCAAAAAACAGATGGATCTTGGAGAATGACAGTAGATTATCATCATCTTAATCAGGTGGTGACTCCGATTGCAGCTGCTATTCCTGATGTGGTTTCATTGCTTGAGCAAATTAGTACATCTCCTGGTTTTGGTATGCAGCTATTGATCTGGCCAATGCCTTTTTCTCGATACCAATTTCAAAAGACCATCAGAAGCAGTTTGCCTTCAGCTGGCAAGGGCAACAGTATATGTTTACAGTCCTTCCTCAGGGGTATATCAGCTCCCCAGCACTATGTCATAATTTAGTCCGTAGGGATCTTGATCGCCTTTCCCTTCCACTAGACATCATACTGGTCCATTATATTGATGACATTATGCTGATTGGACCTAGTAAGGAAGAAGTATCGATGACTCTAGACTTATTGGTGAGTCATATGCGTACTGTTGTTGTTGTTGTTGTTATGTGCCGTCGAGTCGGCCCCGACTCATAGCGACCCCTCCTTGGGTTTCCGAGGCAGTATCACTACGGAAGTAGGATTGTCCAACCTTCCTTCCAAGGAGTGGCTGGTGGGTTTGAACCGCCAGCCGTCTGGTTAGCAGGCAAGTGTTTTAGCCACTATGCTACCAGAGCTCCTATATGAGTACTAGAGGTTGGGAAATTAACCCAACAAAATTTCAGGCACCTTCCACCTCAGTGAAATTTCTGTGAGTCCAATGATGTGGGGCATGTTGAAATACTCCCATTAAACTGGAGAATAAGTTATTGTATCTGGCTTCCCCCACAACTAAAAAGGAGGCACAACATCTGGTGGGCCTCTTTGGATTTTGGAGGCAACATATCCCTCATTTGGGTGTGTTGCTGCGGCCTATTTATCAAGTGACTGAGAAAGCTGCTAGTTTTGAGTGGGGCCCGGAACAACAGAAGGCTCTGCAAGAGGTTCAGGCTGCCATGCAGGCTGCTCTGCCAGTTGGGCCATATGATCTGGCTGATCCAATGGTGTTTGAAGTGCCTGTAGTAGATAGAGATGC